TAGCGTTATTAGCAAACTTGCCTTTTGCATTATTCGTACAAGTAATATACAATCGAGCAAACATAGTTATGGGATAGCATTTCTCGTTCGATTCCGGTATTGCGCCTCATATCCATTTTGGTGCATGTTCATGCCCTGTGCACTTACTAAGTATCTATCAGAGGTGTCACACCTCGTGTCTCACTTCAAGTGAGTCACTTAGTATCGGGTCAAAGCGTGATACTATAAGAGTGCTATCACGGTGATAGCACTCTAGTTAGATATATCATTCACTCCGAAGACAGCGCGAGTTATGATCAATGCTGAATACCAAACACATGATTGCTCTTGCACGTCGCGATTGAATTAGATGAGATCACAGTTAAATTAAGTCCCTATCTTCGAGTATCCTCTCTCTTCTTGCATCGTATCAGTTGTGTCTCATGGTTCACTACGATTGTACGTATTGACGCCTCAACAATACCCAGAAGTTAAACCCTCAAGTAGGCATTAGGTAAGTATTACGGGCAACTTTGACATTCTGCACGAGAAACATTCGCTTATGGGCACTGGCACTCATCGGAGCGTCTTCGTGGAGCTACTGTTATGGACTTTGCAGAGGTGTCGAAGGATTGTACAGGCGAAACGCAACACGGCCTAAATTACTGATTATGAACTCTACAGCCCCCCGCACACAATATTCACTCCCGGGCACCACTACTAGACTAGTACTAGTGGTCCACCAGAGTTACTGTAAGGGGTCGCATGAGAAGCATATTGAGGAACGTCCAAATTCTCTCTACTAATCACCGAGACAGCTACTTGTAGCAGCTACAACAGCTGAGCACCACTGAGGTGCCTACCTTACTGCGAGTGCGTACATGGTCGCTAGTCTCCAGTGATTGGAGAAACTACTTCGATTCCTCGCGCTCGTCCTCTTTCGACCGCTTCTGCTGCAATTCTTTTGCCGCGTGGCTCTCATACTCCTCTACCAATAAAATAGCATTGTTGTTAGGCGAGTACTTTCGCACTATCTCCTCAAATCTGGTACCTCGGGAGAACTTGTCCAGTGCCGGGTAGATGCGGAGTGCTAACTTTCCTCGATAATTTCGATGTTCGCGAGGGGCATCTTTCTGCAATGACCAGTATTTGCTCAGACTACCGAAGAGCATATTGGTTCGCATGCAATAGGCCACGTAGGGATCAGGATGTGAGTATGAAAGCCACAACATCTCGCATGGGCACCACTTGGGTGCCTGCAATACAGCACTACACTGCAGATGAGTGATCCATGTTGATCCAAATAAGTGATCTCGGATCACTCAGTACGAGTGATTCCGCCCAATACGAACTACCATGTAAACACAAATCCTCTACTTGCAAACATAATACAGAGCATAGCAAAAGTTTTAATCCACAAGCCCAATACCACCAGTATTTCCCCGATTACTACTTCGACACTACTTTCGAGTTCCCTCTTTGAGCTTTCTGAGTTGCTCGAGAATCTCTTATCTATATCGACAAACCAAAGAACTTTGCAGAAAAGTCACCACTCAGAGACTTCGAAACTATAATGCAATGCTTAACACAATCACCAACAAACCACCAAGGTTAGAATCGAGCGTGCGAAGTTTCAATTTCTTCTTCCGATTGTAGAACAGCAAAAATTTGCTCCATTGCGGGGTTGCCCATTCGTAAAGCGGCAAATTGCTCCTCTGAAAAGTAGCAATTTGCTCAATAGTAGAAAGAGCAATTTATTGGTTTGCCCCCTTTTTGAGCAAAATTGCTCAATTTTGTTACATAGTAGCACTTCACATAGCGGCAACTTTCATACATTCTAGCAATTTTCTGAAATATAAACAAGCAAACGATATTCATTCGAGCAGTTTCTGTTATACAAAACGGCAAATTTGCGTATTTGTAAAGTGAATTTTGCTACTTTGCTCTTCTGTATATCAGCCACAGCGTTCTTACACACTAGCACAACAGCAAAAGCCGCAGGGAATATACATTCCAGCTAATTGGCACTTTTTTGCTATTTGCTCCTTTGCTATTTTGTAACTGAGCCGCTGAAACTAGGCTAAATCATTGAGTGTCTCTTTCTCTGCGGGTGAAATTGCCTCCTCGAACCTCATTGGCCGCCAGTTATTGGCGCTAAATCGACCAAAATCTCCCGCTGAGAAGATCAGAGCATCAGGCTGCTTGTCATTTTTCCTCCAGAGTTTCCTCGATCACTTTTCTTCTCTTTTCATGAGAAACCCCGCCTTGCCCTGGCTACTAGTTGCTCAGGCTCTGGTCATCACGGTGGCTCAGGACGCTGGCAAGTACGTCTACGAGAACAGAGACTTCACTATGACTTACTATGTGTACGAGGACCACAAACTCGAATTTGCCTTCACGCTGAGTGGCGAACCCGAAACAAGGCGTCCCAGTAGCCCAGGGTGGCTGAAAGTGGGGAATTATTCCTATTATTCCCGGGAATATTCCCAGGGAAGGGAAGAAAGGAATTATTTTTGGGAATAATACCTGCCCTTTCGGGAATTATGAAAAAAACCGCGTCGAACAACGATGAATTCGTAGTTTCTGAAGGAATCCTGATGCTATTGTGACCAGTAGGCTCACACAGACCACAAGCATGTACCTAACTGAGTCAGGCGAGTTAGGCTAACTCGCCTGACTCGTGTATGAACAACGATATCCATCGTCTGGGCGCGCGCTATTGATAATGTTCATTTTAGAGCTCTCCGATGCAAGCTTCGTTCCAAACCTTTCCCGTAGAACATGGCATCCCCTGCTTACCGCTGATAGGACAGCAGAGTGCTCCCATGAGCAAAACAGCGAGTACAACTACTGGTACTGCTACTATGCCATAGTAACTATGACCAACTTCTGGGATTACTGCTCCTAATAGGAGCCTCCTATGAACAACACAGCGACTGAAACTGCTGTCGCTATGGCCAACACAACAATTGAGAATTCTGCTCCTATGAAAACAAAGCGACTTCAACAACTGCTGCTATGACCAATACAACAACTGGGAATACTGCCCATGAACGACATATTGAACTGATGCTGGGATTAATTCACTGGCCCGAGCTTGTAGGGATTGCCTTGCAAGCGCCGCGCTCGAAACGCCTCGTGAATAGCCGGAAAAGTGAGAAAATGCAAGAGAGTCCATATTTTCTTCTCGGCCATGCGGCCGAGAGGGTTCGTCGAAGTGCGTGTGACCCTTTTCCGGACTCCTTGTTCATAGTCATGTTTTCCTGGAGCAAACGCCGGTCTTGTATTATAATTCCCCGAATGAGGTCCATTATTCCCCTTTTAGACCAGCAATTATTCCCGGGAACTAAAACGGGAATTATTGGGGAAGGGAAGAATGATTCTTCCTCAGCCTTCAGCCACCCTGCAGTAGCCAGTCTGTGATTTACTCGTTCAGTCCCGGTGCTTGCTACGTCGCGTGGCCGTTCCCGTTAGCGGAGAAGGCGAGCTCTGTGTACATCCTCCAGGACGAGCATTCTCTGGGCTTTGATGACTGGTACAACAGAATCAAGTTCTTGCTAGCACACGCTCACCTTGTTGAGCCCGAAGACCTCAACCCTCTGGCGGAGATCCAGCCTGGGGACTTGGTTACCTTGACCTACCACGGCAAGAACTCTATCACCACGAGCTTCCGGAAGAGAGAGCTCAGGTTTATGCGGGTGATGTCTACCCTGCCGCCGGGTAAGTATGTCTACAAGGGACCTCTCTTCAGTATGACTTACGATGTGAACATGGATCATGAAGTTACATTCTCCATCTACGTGCCTAAGCCTCCGCGTCATAGGGGTGATATACCGAAACCTGCTTCTATTTCCCTTGGCCCGTACTTTCTACGAAGTGCTACTGGTTTCACTTACTATCTCGACTTCGGGAAGCCTGGGCCCGGCGGGTATCATTGGCGTGTGGAGCTCGACCGCTTCCTCAGAAACACTGGCCTAATGGAGTCTGACAAGGTCTACCCATCTGATCCTAGCCAAGAGTGGGATCTTACAGTACTAACCTCTACAAGCACTATCACGACCAACTTCCAAAAGAAAAGGATCGAGTTCAAGAAGGTCGCACCCCACTAGGCGCCGAGTGCATGCGTGGTCGAGGCAGGACTCCTGCCGCAGGAGTGCCTCTAATCGAGATGCGCAGTCCCAAGTGGTGTAATATTTTTACTCTTTGAAAAAGGTGAAATTTCATGCTGACAGCGCTCGGCTCACAACGAGAAGTTCATCTTCCGAAGAGAAGCTTTGTGAGCTGAGAGGTCGGTCATAGTCCACCTCAACAGGGCCATC